ACCCTGGACATCTGCTCTGGTGTCATCCTCCGCTTGCGAGGTTGCGTAGGTGCTACGAGTGGTGCGCCTAGGCCTTCCTCTCTGACCCGTGGTCGTTGCTGCTCTGGTGGTGGTTTTTCTTTTCCCTGCCATCGTCGGTTTGCCTTGGCCAAACCACGGTGGTGCCAATGTTGAGACTTGCGGTCTCAGACGGTGAGGAAGTGGTAGGGGCCTCTGCCCGATGAGTGCACTAATCGGGCGGAAGCTTGGAAGGGTAGGCACGACAAGTGGGCGTGTAAGGGAGTGACACGTAATGCTGTGGTTTCATTAATACATTCACCAGCCCCCGTACTGTTACAAGTGTTCCTTATTTATAGGGCTCAACTACCGCATTTGCGGTGTTTACAACAGTGCTCCTCAACTGCTACAGTACATTCTGGGAATATTCCTCTACTTGCTCTTTGTCTCTAGGGTAATCTTGCCACGCCGCCATCAGATGCTGGGCCTGCGTGACCAACCGGCCCAGCGGGCCTCAGGATTCATTGATGGGTCTTTGGCCCTCCGCCATCGCTCTCCGCCCTGTCTAGCCCTAGGGTTCAGCGATGAACCCTCAGGCCCCCACCTACGGTCTCCACCTCAGGGACGCCGAAAGCCACCGACCTCCAACGCTCGGTTCAGTCGTGCTCCTGCTCGGGCCTCCGCCCATATGAGTGGAGGCCAAACCAGAGCGCCAGCACCGTCCATGAGAGCCTTCCTTTGCTTACCTGCACACACATATTAGACGTTGGCATTTGATTAGCCTATTGGTGGGGCGGCCTCCGCTCTCTTCGCCCGGAGGTGCCTGCGCGCCTAACGGGCGGAGGCTGCGCCACGGTTGCATGCAGCGTCCTGCGAGCACAGTCTGAGAAACTATCATCTTTCCAGGGTTAGGGTCTGGAGGCATGGTGGCTGGGCCTTCGCTTAGGTGATCGGTCGGAGACGTCTCTGCGAACTACTGACCGCGTATGTCTCCGCTACTCTCGGAGGCCGTGTTACAACAACCCCTATTGTAGGTGCAGCTTGAGGAGTAGCTCTTGCATGGAGGATTCTTCTGGTGGGCATAGACGGATCCTTGTATCGTTTCCGCTAGATGTTTATTTTTATTTCGCTGTTTAATTATCGCACTCTGAACTCTGGTATTGTAATAAATAATTTCGAAGAACTCTTGTTGTATGAAATGGACTAAGTATTGTAAGCTTGTACTCATTATTAGATTTTGGATGTAAAACATGGATTGTTTCGAGTTCTCCCTTGGGGTGTGCTCGACAGAACTGTCCGATGTAGCTAACTTTCGAGGTGCTTAGTGTCTAGTGGAAGACGAGCGCCTCTGAAAGTATGTTATTTTAGGCGGTTCTGCCACACCAAGTCGTAGCTAGATTGCTCAGAATTAATTTGTGAACTTGGTGTTGTCAAACTTGTATTTAGACTTAATAACTTCTCAAGTTTAGCTGATTTTAAATTCCAAGTTCCATTTCCAAGCCATTGGAAATACTATTTAGCAATATTATTTTTCTACAGCAAGAGTTGCATTGTCATCTACAAAGTTTGTGCTTCAAACTTTATTAAGGTGTCACACACATGTTCTATAATGTTTTTGCTCAATACAAATTGGTTTTCAACCCTATTTGATACAACATGAGCTTTGAATCAATTTTTATTTAACCTTTTTATTGGTCATTTTAGGCTACAAGAAATTTATCTACACACTCTATCATATGTATTATCACATAAATATGATGCTTATGACATGATTTGGTAGTTTGTTTAGGGCGTAACACCGAGGGTGTTACAAACCCTCACTAAACACTAGGTCTAAACCTAGAGCAAACGCATAAGCGGTGGTCTAATCAACCTAAGCACTTCACAGGTCTAATCAACCTAAGCACTTCACAAAAAACCTACGCTAATCACCTAATATTACCCTAAGCATTTAGGTGGCTAGAGCAACTAAAATTGAGTCTCAACCCATATATCAATTCCTTGGGCTCTCACACACTCAATTTGGCCGGACATGGGGGTATTTATAAGCCCCCAAACAAATAGAGTAGTTGTTCCCCTTGGAGGGCTTTTCTGCGCCACCTTCGGACCGGACTCTAAGGCTGTCCAGAGTAATGGTGATGGGTCCGGACCCTCCAACGGTCACTGACAGGTGATCATTTGAACTACGTGCTATGGAGACTAACATGTGAGGCCAACCTGTCCAGACCGGACTGTTGATTGGTCCGGAGCACTCAACCGGGCTGGGTCCAGAGCCTCTGGCGCTCTCTGGAAACTCTCTGGACACCTTTGGACTGAGCTCTCCGCTGGTCCGGATGGTCACTGTTCACCAGGTCTAGAGCTTCATGTGGCTAGGGTTTGTAACCAGACCGGCGGTCCATGGTCCGAACCCCTGTTCATTAGGGTCTAGAGCTCCTGTGATGGTCCATTCACTTCATTTCTTCATGACCATTGCGTCTGGCTTGGTTCCATCCTTCGTGCTTGGACTTTACTTGATCTTTTGGGTCTTCTACTCAGCTTCTAATGCCTTGCTTGATATGTTGATCATCGAATCACCTTGTCACCTTCATTCAAGTCACGTTTGCACCCTATTGGACTACAAAATAATCTCTAGCAAATATGTTAGTCCAATTTGGTTGTGTTGATCATCAAAAACCAAAATCCAAACTAAATGGGCTAAGGGTCCATTTTCCTTACAATTATGCATGTATTCATTGCGATAAAAATCCATTATCAAGACTGCTAAGGAATAAGCTATGCTACCTTGGACATCGTCATTTTCTTCCAAGGGGACACACTTGGAGAAGGAGCTTGGATTTCGATGGACACAGTGAGAACCAAGATCAGCCAGAAAGTTCACCTTAGAGGAGGTCCTTGAGGAACTCGAGAAGGTCAAAGATATCATCCCAGGTAAGCACCGTGCAAGCAATGTGGAGCAAATAATTTATAATCGAAAAGTTGGTTGGTGGAGCCTGTCGTATTGGAAGGACCTGTTGCTGCCATACAATCTTGATGTCATGCACATTGAGAAGAACATATGTGACAATCTTTTTTGGACATTGTTAAATGTCGAGGACATGACAAAAGACACAATCAACACTAGGCTAGATTTGCATGATATGAACATAATGTCTGATTATCACTATGTGCAGGAAAGTAGCTTGGTTAGAATCCCAGATGCTCGTTATGTCTCGAAGAAAAAAGACAGAGCACAATTTTGAAAGTTCCTTTAAAGGTGTCAAGTTTTCAGATGGTTATTATGCAGCCAACCTAGCAAAATTAATAACTACAGATGGTACCAAGGTAGTTGGCAAGCTAAAACCGCATACTTGCCATGTCCTTCTCATCATACCTATAGGTTTAAGAGGTTTTATTCCCAAAGATATATACATTGTTGTTTCAGAACTTGAAAACTTCTTCAGGCAACTGTGTAGTAGAACTGTGAGGAAAGATGTCGTGAAATAACAGAAAGAGGATATCCCACTCATCTTATGAAAGTTTGAGAGATTTTTCCATCGGCCATTTTTTATGTGATGGTGCACTTGATTGTTCATCTACCTGACGAGGCACTTCTTAGATTCCTCGTACAATATGGATGGATGTACCCAATAGAACGACGACTGGGCACGTTGAAGAATTTCTTAAGGAATAGGTCGAAGCCTGGAGAATCAATTGTGGAGGCTTACTTAAAAAGTGAGATGTTGACATTTTGTGAGAGGTATATCGACGATGTTGAAACAAGATATTACCGGGACGTCAATATGTCACATTATGGGCCATTACATGGTGACACCTCTTTTTTCATGCATGATGTCATGATCATTGGCAAAACTAGGGTACATCACATCAATGATAAAGTCAGGGACAAGCTAGTTTGGTATGTGCTTAATAACTGCGAGTAGGTTCAAACATATGTGGAGTAAGTATTATTTTTATATGCTGATTTGTTATTTCCTATATTATGTACCAAATGTTCCCAATAAAAATCCTTATATGCGGTACAACATATACATACAAAGTTTACGGAAAGAAGAGGCACCTGATGTTGAAAGGAGGCTAGCAGTAGGGTTTAATTTCCAACATGGTTTAAGTCTGGAGTACATGTAGCATATTTTAGTTCTATTAGGCTAATCATTGGCAGAATTCTACCATAATTTAGTAGTGACGGTGGTTTCATGTTCGTGTGCAGATCCTGGAGCTACGTAAAGAGAAACCAACAGAGATCACTGAAGGTTTGTATGCACTATCATGTGATCCTGATCTCCGAGTCAAGATCTATGTAGCTTGCACTATCAATGAAGTCAGGTATAGCACTTTTGACCATGAGAAAACCCTACATACACAGAACACTGGTGTCATGACCGGCGACTTGTACACATGGAGGCAAATCAGTGAAATTTTATGGTGTCCTTAGAGAGGTTATTGAGTTGCAGTATACATCCAACCTACAAAGCTTTAGGACGGTGGTTCCTCTACGCTGTGACTGGTACAATCAAGTTGGTAAGACGACCGTAGGTATTAACGATGCCGGACATTTCAAATCCATCAACATTGGGTCATTGTGGTACAATGATGACCCTTTCATTCTCACGACACAGGAAGCAAGGAAGATTTTTTTTATCCGTAGGACATCTTCTTGGGTCGTGCAGAAGTTTGAACATAGTGAGCATCAAGTGCACCAAGATGATCACTGTTTTGACAACGGGCATGAAGTGCTAGAGGGTAATGGTGATCAAGTTATGCACCAAGCTAGTCATGATGAAGAAGTCACTATCATTGAAGCTAATTTGGTAGACCTTCTAAGAGATAAGAGAGCAGCAGTTAACATACTTCAAGCCAACAAGGATAAAGATGATATTGTTATGTAGTATATATTGCAGTGACCGTAACTATGGCTGCAGCTGCGCGCTCTGGTCGATCTGCTCCGGCTCGCCCCATAGATGGGCCGCCAAGCCGTCCCAGTCCATGTCGAACAGGTCGTCCACCTGGGCCTGACCACCGGCCGCGTGAAATCCTTGGGTAACCGCATCGTGGCCCGCCCCGATAGACATCAGGGCGTCTATCCAGCTCTCGGCCTCCCAGAGGTCCCCGAGCTCTATCGGGTCCAGCATCCACGGCCCGGTGGCGTCCTCGCTGCAGGGTCCCTCGGCCGGGCTGCCGCTGCTGCTGTTGGGCTGGTTCGGATCCGGGTCCACCACGGCGCTTCGCGCCCCGTCGCTGTGCGCCGCCGACGTCGCGGCGGTGGCCGGGCTAGACGCGCCTTTCGCGTCGCCGGACTCCGGTTCAGGCTCAGGGTCCGGCTGCTTACTCTTCTTGCTCTTGCTGCTGCTGGCGCTGCTCCTCGGCGACCGGCCCGGGGTCCTGCCGCAGCGCCGCTTGTCGGCGCTTTGCAGCTTGCTCATGTCGATGGTGACGGTGGTGTCCGGCCCGGCGGTGTACTTCCGGCGGTACGTGTGGATCTGCCGGCTGAGGTGCGAGTTCCAGTAGTTCTTGATCTCGTTGTCTGTTCGGCCGGGGAGGTGGCTGGCGATCAGGGACCACCTGCATGCATTGAAGCAAATACGTAAATCACAACGAGGGTACGATACGATTGTGACATGCATTTCACTGGCTGGCTAGAGTGCCATCGTGGTTCTTAACCTACGTACTACTACTAGTAAAATACTACTACGTACTCCATATAGTAGTACTAGTACTCCTCTCCTCACAGTTCTTGCAGGACACAAAATGTCACAATCCCAGCCACTATCACCACGCTAGCTTGACAGTACAACAGTTTGGTGCAACTAATTGATCGCGCTACTTAACGATGTCTGTGCCGTAGGCCGTAGTAATCATGTGCCTGCCTGTGTGTTCATGGCGCTAATGTATATCGTTTGCTGAGAAGGCCGGACGGCCGATCATCAATCGACCGTGGAAGGCCTTTGCACAGTACCGGGGACGGGGATCTGCTGGTGCGAGAGAGAGATCACCGGAACGGACGCGGACGCCATGGAGATGGCCGGAAAGCCCCTGTGCGCGCCTCGAGAAGACCGTGACCCGTCCGCACGGCATGCTTAGTCTCTGGCATGCAAGTTCGCTCTCAGCTGGAGTTGAAGAGAGTGTTGGCCCAAATTGTCGTTTCGTGGTCCTCTCCTCCCTCTCTCAGCCGCTCACGATTGACACCTAATTAATTAAGCTTTCGCCAGGACCTCCATGTATATAGGTATAGTATATATATAGTAGCAGTACAGAGTTTTGGTGAGTGTGGCGGCACTGCTCTCGCAAGGCCACGCGGGGTAGGGTAGGGACAATACGCCGATCACTATGCCGCTACTGTGACATGACACTACGGAGTACTCGTTTCCGTCCTAAAATAAATATACTTAACTAGAAAAATAACAAGATATTTATTTGATATTATAAATACTACTAGTATATTTTTCTACATATTTGTGCATGATGCTATCATAGGACTGGTTAATAGTTGCTTTCTAATATCTTCTTTAATAATTTATACATCTTTGAACACGAGAAAGTGCCTAGATCGACCATTTCCTCGTGCCGCTGCTTTTTTATCGTAAGAGATGTAACGACGATGACCGAATAGCAGGTTATATAGATTTAACTTGTACTACTGTCAAAGGAAGAAGTGACAAGGACAGCATCGGACCGACAGTGTCAAGTACTCAATGCCCTGTAGAGAGAGCGTGCGTAGAGCCCACGTGTACATATGAACATTGGTGTAAAATACTGTACATTCATGAGGCTGTCGGGCTCCAGCGAAGTTACTGTACTTATTAGAGGGATGCATGGCCAATTTTGGCCTTGTTGTGTTCAGCCATGCAGACTTGCTTAGCCTCCAATTCCAGCAGCGTGTGTGTCTACTACTCTACTTGGTGTCTCGTAACTCTCAACCGATCGAGCAGCCATTGAAATTATAAGGTTTTATTGAGAGCGCATACGGAGCAGCCACTTGTCACTATACTACATACTCTACGTATGAAAACGAGCGAGCTAGGCAGCAGTAGCAAATTTTCTAGTCGGATGCACACTCGCTCTCAGTGTTGATTAGGGCGCGTGTTACCTGTTTCCAAGGGTGGCGTGAAGCATGATGATGATGTCCTCTTCCTCCTTGGAGATGCTCCCCCTCTTGACGTCCGCCCGAAGGTAGTTGATCCACCGCAGCCGGCAGCTCTTGCCGCACCGGAGCAGCCCTGCACACCGTACACCGTACAACCAGCCGAAAGATCTTAATAAGGTGCGGCGGCGGGCTAATCATATCATTTGCTAGTGCTGCCTAGCTAGCTAGCTAAGGACGACGAACAAGGTGGATCGGAATTGCAAGATAGAGCTGGTAAGTGATGATGCGTGCGTGCGTCGATTGTGTAGCTTGCAGTATAGTTGGTTACCTGCATTCTTGGGCAGCGACCTCCAGGATCCCTCGCCGTGCTCTGCAATGTAGTTGGCGAGTATCTGGTCCTCCTCCGCCGTCCACCTCCCCCGCTTGAGCCCCACCTTCTCGCAGCACGGCGCCCTCCCCATCGCGCTCCGCCGCCGGCCGGATCCCCCCTCCGGCGGCGCACGCGCTGCTGCCCACTCTCACTCTCGCACTCGCGCGACCCACTGGCCACTACGCTCGGGTAGCAGCAGGTCGCGTGCGTCCAAGGGATATGAGTTGGTGTGCGTGCGTTCGCTCCTCTCACCGCGCGGAAGGGCCCCGGACGCACGCTCTCGCCGCGCGCGCGTGTGTGTGTGTGTGCTGGCTACCGAGGCCACGCCATGGCCACCCATAATATAGCAGCGGCGTTCGGGCTCTCGGGCCTCGGGACGTGTGCACGCAGACGGAGTACGCTTTCGTAACGGACCGGCCGAGTCCTTACGTGGGGGGGACGGCGACTATAGCTAGCGAGCCGGGGGGGCGGAGCGGCGGTCGAACGTGTGGCTGCTGGTGAAGGCACGTGGGCGCGCCCGGCAAAAGTGGGCGCCGTGGCGCGAGGCGGCACCACCGTCCCCTCACGCGGCCTCGCCAGCGACCACGTTGTCAGCGGCGCCCCCCCGGCCCGCGCTACTAGTAGTAAGCAGGAGTACGACTACTTACTGGAACCTGTAGTAAAATGTACCAGCACTGTTCACGCTACGGATCGAATCAACCCTAGTACAGTAGCCAGGCGTAGTAGTGATCGGCTGGCCTTGGGCCCTTGGCCCTGGCGCATCCTCGTACTGCCAAGCCTAGCAAGAGCGAAGTCGTCGATCGCATGATTTTTCTTGCTGGGATGTGTATAATATGGCACACAGAAAATGACATTCGCTTCCGCGAAGAGGGATGGCCGGGGCCGCCTGGTGGAGAGTTTTTTTTGTCCAGGCAGTACAATTTCAGAAAAGCTATGCATTGCTCGTGTGATTCATTTGCCTGTGTCACTCGAATTCTGGATCGTTTGATTTGTTTTTGATTTGATCCTGGCCTTCAGTTTTAGAAAAGCCTATGCTTTAACTGAGTGTTTTGGTGCGTGCTATTTATTCTGTTTGGGTTTGTATCTCTGATTTGGATGGCCCACCTTATCAGTGTTGTTGATTCATTTCCCCATTGTCTTCCTCCTCGCGATGCTCTGTGCTGGTGAGAGGCGATTCGATTAGTCTCCCAAGTTCGTTCCGTTTGCTTCCTTCGATTCCATGAAATCTTCGTTGTTAGTGTAAGCTCATGTGTTCTGCCTCGTTCTAAAGGTTAGGGTTCGAGTTTATTCCAAGAATTTGATCTGTGCTGCGATTGGGGGTGGATGGAATTTCGGGCTTCCTTGCTTGTTCTAGGGTTCGAGCAGGCATTTGGCATTGATGTTTAGGTCGGATTTGCGTTGGATTTGAGGCTTTAGGTTGCTGTACTTGTCGCCTTGGGCCGGCCATGCGCCATCGCCTTGGCCGCCTGCCGCGCGCTACGCTTGGTGGGCAACCCAAGTTGCGCCGCCCTGGCCAGGCGGCCGCTGCCGCTGGCGCTAAGCCGGTGGTTGCTACGCCCCGCCTCCGAGCCAAGTTGCTGCTGCCGCTCCCCGCCTCCGAGCCAAGCTGCTGCTGCCGCGCCCCGGCTCCCAGCCAAGCTGCTGCTGCGTGGCTGCATTCATCTCTCCCTGCCCTGAGCATGAGCAACACCGCTATCTCGACGAACCGTATGCACTCAGAGATAGGATCTCCACTTTGCTAGCTTCAGACTATTCTCGAGAAACTTCAAATGCATCAATTGCAATTTCCAGATGAAGGGTGCGGCTAGACTGAATGCAAGGGAGCAAATTCCGTCCACTCACGGCTTGAATTGTTCGCATAGTGAATATTCTGCTGTATATATTGGGGTTGTTGTAGTTCCTTGCATAGATTACTGTTGTTTCAGATTACTTTATTCATCTGTATTTGCTGCTGTTATTTTGGGGCTGTTCTACTAAATATTTTTTTTCAGATTATTTTAGAGTATTTATTTATATTAGTTTTAGAAGTGTATATTTCCTTCAGATCATTACTTTGCTTGTGAAATGCTTGTTCTGTTTGTCCAATAGTTAAAAGACATATGAGGTATTTATCATTTATTTAGTACTCGAAATTAGTAGTTCACTATGTCTGTGCTGATGCTTGTATTACTAGTGTTTTTTCCATTGGCTTTCTCTGTGTAATCATGATAGAATTTTGATATTTCTGATAGATGGCTAGGAAGAGGCGTCCTAGTTTTGACGTTTTGTCGAGATATCGAGCTCTAATGATTTAGAAGGCTAGGATGTTGAAGATGTTCCTGATCTCTATCATGTGTTGATTCTGATCTCTATCACTCCATCTCTAACTCTGAAACTGATTATAAATGTGATGTAAGTGTACTGTATTTGTTCCTGATTTTTGTCCTTCTGTATGTTGGTGCACACAGCATGTTGGCTTAAGTTGGTAATACTGAATTGATATCTTTGACTCAGCATGTTTTTTCCCTCTTGGCATTGTTGGGCAATAGCCTTGTTTGACTTTATTTGGCATGCCTTTCTGACCTGTAGTTAAGAAGTACTGAGCTATCAATTATGAATAGTTTAGTAGAGGGCAGTTATGCTATTTCTGTATGGAGCATGGAGTTGTCATACCAGTCTTTTCATCGTAGCACTTTAACCCCAACCCCAATCCTCCCGCCATGCGTAGCTAATATTTTTGATCTCTAACATTAGTGTGACCTTGCTTTTTCTTCCAATTGTTTGTTAGTAATGATTTATGATACGTTTTAATTTTTTTTATTAAAATTTCATACTGTAGGACTCTTCTTCAAGTGGCAAGTTTCAATAATACATTGTATTAGCAATGCTTGAGAGATGTACGCATTGTTATTATTCATGTATTGTACCAGCAACTCTGTGTTATTCTTTCTGTATATTTTAGTTCACTCATGGAATCTATTATTTATGTTTGTTTTGTGTAGTACAAAAAAATTAAGGATTTGAAAAGGAGATTGACAATGTCATTGTAAATTGTAATTTGGTCCATCTGTTATTTAGTTTATAATTTGGCAACTTCAACTCATTCCACTACATTTCTGAATATCTGGAACCCATAGAAAAAATTTGGTTATTTGTTATATTTGGTATATAAGTTAGCTTAATTTCAATTTTGGTCCATCTGTTATTTGTTTTGCAATTTTCTTAGCTGTCTGTATCTACCTCATACGTCATTCTTGACTCTCATACTGACATGTCAGTTTGTACTCCAAAGATTCTAATAGCAAGATTCTGGTAGCAAAGTGAGTTTATGTTGCATTTTTTTTTGAGTACCTTCTTATTTTATTTACACTAATTAGTTCTGTGTATATAGCGTGACAGGTTTTTGTAAATTGTGTATAAGGCTTGCTTTATATTAAACTTGTAGACAGTGATAGGCTTGCTTTATCCCTATTATTTTAAGACTAGAGAATTATAATTGATTTAATCTGGTTCTGGAAATTTTGAGTGGTTCTATACCTATTTTAGCTAATTTTGGCTCTAATGCAAATATTTTGTGATGTAGATATGTATTATGAAGGGCCATGGTGGTTCTTATGATGAAAAAGTAAGTCGGTTTCTCTCTGAATGCATTCCAGTTTTTTCTATGTTTTTTTTGTTATATTCTAGAATTTTGCTACTGCTCTGCTCTAAATAATGGTTTCCTAGTTATTAGTATCCTAGTTATAGTGTAGTTCTACTTCAGTTACAGTTCTTCGTCAGGTGTAATTTATAGGTATTATTTATGTAAGTAGTACTAAGTGCTAAAACTTCATTACTTATATAGTACTAAGTTGTTTGTTTAATATAATGACCTCATTTTTTTGTTTAGCTATCTATATTAGAAATTTGGGTTTCCTTATGTTTGTTTGGGTGCAATTCCCTCATTATATTTGTGATTTTGTCTTTCATAGAAAATTTATAGTTTATGATATTTGTTTTTTTTGGTATGTGTGTTTTAGGCGGTTCTCTCTGGTGAATTTGCAATCATTTTAAAATTTTTGCATTCTGCTTTTTTATTTTAATTATTTATTTTTTCCAATGTTTGTAGTGGTGAATTTGTTAAGGTTGTTGCTGTTTTTTGGTCATCCGAGTTGAATTTGGGTATGTTTTGAATCCATTTTACTGTCTTATTAGTTTAGTTACAAGGTTTGGCTCCTCTTGATACCTGAACTTACACTACATTTTTTCCTTTGTTTTTTATTCCTTGGTTGATCATTCAGGTGTTGTTTGTTTTGTTAGATGTAGGTCAAGGCAATTAGAAGGGAGTGAAGTTGGGCCACCCTCACAAGTTAGCCACAGAGTAAACAAGGTATAAAGAATATATCTAGAAGCTACAACCTGCAACATCAAGTTAGAACAGAGAATTTTTTTAGTGCATGCCTCCATTTCTTTATCAGCCCAGAACTTGCTCCTTTTGATTTATATTAGTTTAGTTACAAGGTTTGGCTCCTCTTGATCTTTGAGACACGATATTTGTTTTACGAAGTTCGGACTCGTTCGAGTCCTACTCTCCGTTGAGGGGGCTTACACTACCCTAGAGGATACCACGTTCTACTTTTCAACTTTTTCCTCCTTCCACTAATTGATTCCGGTAGCGGAATCGTTAATCACGTCTAACCGTCTAGGACAAAGAGTCCAAATTTCTAGGTTTTTGCACGTAACTAGTATTAATTGAATTTTTTAATTAGACCTATATTTGGGTAATATATTTTGAATGGAGTATGTTTCCTTTTGCTTTATTTTTGGCCCATGATGCAAAACATAAGATTTAGATATGAGGTGCGTGCTTTTGTTTTTTGTTGCTTCTGTGAGGTGTCGGAACTCCCGACATATGTCGGAACTCCCGAACTCCGACATCCATCTCCCGATCGTCGAACTCCGGACCCTCATGGCTCGAATTTTTGAAAACTAATTTGTTACGGTCATCCATTTAGGACACGTCTCCGATTATCTGTCATCAACCACTGACCCATCCATTCCCTAGCAGCCGTAGTTTCATACTTGGCTGATGGCAGAACGGCATACCTATTAATGAATGGGTTGATGTTGATC